ATAGGATGATCTTTCTCCATACATGTAGAAAAACAATGAATAACTATAAATTATATGTATAGTAGTGAAAATGTTTTTTTTAAAAAAAGATATGTTTATAGTATTTAATTTACACATACTTTGCACTCAGCTGTTATTTAAAACTTAACACAAGTTAGTAAATTATGACCCAGTTTCACTTAGCTTCTGCATGTCATGTATTCATAAAGCACTGACACATGCACAGAAATAGAAAACTTTCACATTTCTTACATGACAAGCTTATTTGAAGGGGCTTGGTGTGGTCATTCACACCTGTAATCCCAACTACTTGGGAGGCAGAGATAGGAGGATTGAGGTCTGAGGCCAGCCAGGGCAAAAGCTCAAGACATAATAAAAGACTGAGGGTGTGGCCAAAGTGGTATAGCAATTGCCTAGCTAGCACCAGGCCCTGAGTTCAATCCTCAGTACTGCAAAAACAAAAGTAAAACAAAATGTCTGTCTCTCCCTCCCTCCCTCCTTTCCTTCTTTCCTTCCTTCCTTCCCTTCCTCCCTCCGAAGTAAAACTTGAAAAGGATAGAGTAAGTTCAGAGAGAGGTGAAGTGCTTTTGGTTTACAAATAATTCTGCAGTTATCTGTAGTAGAGGAGATGAATATGTTACAAGGTTGGAAGGAGTGGAGAGAGCCTTAAGCAGGAGGGAATGGTGGAGGCAAGATTATAGAAGGAAGCATGCATTCATCTTTGGACCATGGACGAGATCCCATGAGGAGATTAGTATGTTAGGGCTGGACTGGAGGATCTTGAATGCTAGACTAATCATTCTGTATATGCAGGTGATAGAAATTCATTGACTATTTTTGAGCAAGGGGTTGATAAGATTTATAAGGTATTTAGGAAGGCTAAATCTAGACACAGAAGGCTGGATGGATTGGTGTACAGAAGAGTTATGAAGTGAAAACACCAGGAAAGTTGTGAATCATCTAGGAATGAAGTAATTAAGGCTTAAACTTGGTAAAAATGGAACCTTTGATGCTTTGTTAAAATATGAAGGTCTTCAGTCTGCCCTTTGATGTTACTACTGCTTAAATGTATCTCTGATAGTCAAAGAAAGAACTAAATAACTGATGTTGGTCAGAATGAGTGCAGCATTTTAAGAGATATAAAGAACATTTCTTCTTTTCTGAACTGGTACCATCCAGCTATTAACAGGGACAACAACAATAAAACTTCCCTGAAGCTTAAGAGTTAACATCCTTTTCAGATGTTCATAATACTTAACTTTCAAAGTTAGTGCGTTTTTATTAATTGCAAGCCAATTTACAAAGAAATATAGCAAATGATAAGTATAAAGTGGAGTGATAAAATATTTTTTCTTAATATTTTATATTCATGTTTTTATATTTTCTTGGTTTTAGAATATGCTCAGTTAAATGATCGTGCCTAATATCCTCTTTAGTATAAATTTAAGATGGGAATTTTAAGCATTTTTTCTAGTATTTTATACATAATAACTTTTTAAAACTTTGAGCTTTTCATTGATGAAAGTTTCCTAAATTTATTATTTAAACAAATTACATTTCATTTCAATGAAATCGTTTAAATTGAAACGATTTAATAGTTTAACAATAAGCAGAACATTGAAATGGACTTTCTAGAAAAAATTTAATATTGCTTGCAAAAGCTTATCACCTGTTTTTTTTTTTTTTTTACCTTTAATATCAAAGTGGGGATACTCTTTCCTATCATGAACAGCTACACATATGCTTTATTAATATGGGACAGGGGAAGTTGCTGATAACAGATAGAACCCAAATTCTCAGGTCAAACAAGAGAATTTTATTTGTCTCTTGTTTTACAGGCAGGTGGCTATGAGTAGGTTGGTGGCTCTTTTCCATAAGGTCATTCAAGAACCCAGGTTTCTTTTAATTGTTACTCAGTACCATAACTTCTAGCCACATATGGCTATTGACATTTATATTTAAATTCACTTAAAAATGCACTGTTAATACGAGCCACATTTTAAGTCCTCCATAGCCAGTATATGGCTAGTGGCTATTGTTCTGGATAGCATAAAAAGAGTATATCTGTCAGCATGTCTTTGGGAGGGGAGAATAAGAGGAGTGAAGAGCCAGAGGCACAATTTTGTTATAAAATGATCCAAACCATGCACATATCACTTCTGCTTGCAGCCCCGTGGCCAAGATTTAGTTTTTATTCCTACATCTCACTGGAAGGACAGCTAGGGAGAGTTACTAGCAGGGTAGACTGTACCCTGCTAAAGTTTGGTTTAGTTGGAGGTGGAGTGGGGAGCAGGGATTCTATTCCCAAAAGGGAAAAAGTGAGAATAAACACTAGAGAATAATTGTCAATCTAGCTCATATGTACTGAAGGTATTAATAATCCCAGTAAGGTCTCCTTTTGCAACTAGCCGGGGATTAACATGGTAAAAATCTTTCTTAATTTTAGATGACCATGGTGTGATTAACTTGAAATTATAAGTGTTTGTTTTACTACTTTATTTGAATTACACAGTGTTTCTTAAAAGGTGTTTTGATGAGTAAGTACAAAAAGTACTAGTGGGTGGTTTAGTTGTTCCCTTTCTTTTCCTCACACCTCACTCCTTGTGTGCAGTCTCAGCCTTGCAGTTATAAACTATTTAGTGCTTATAATAAAAAGCAAATAGTCTTTTCTCATACCATTTCTTACCCCAGTCTTATTCTCTGAGACAAACATTTTAAAATATTCATGTTCACAATTTCCTTATTTCTAAATAACATGTCTACATTTAGTATGTCTTGATTTATCAGTCTTGGGAATTATATGCTGATCATTTATTATAAACAAGGATTTGGTCATATACAATTTACTGTCTTCATTATTTTTATTTTTCTATTAGCTTTAATATCTTTTAAATCATTTTCATGTTCATTCAGCTGAAGATGTGTGTCTTGACTCTAAAATTAGCAATCATAGATGTTATTGTTACTAAGCTTCCCTCCCGATATCTTTCCTCTTTCTGCTTCCCACTTTTTTTGTCATCTCTTCTTTGAAAATTACATTTGTTTCTGTACATTTATGTTAGTTTCTCTAACTATAATTAAGTCCTTCAGCTTTTTGTCTTGCTGCATTCTAAAAATTGTAATTAGTCAATAGTTTAAATTTTCAAATTTAGCTTCATGTTGTTTATTATTTAGTATAGTTTCATCTTTCCTCTTTAGTTTCTTGCATTTAAAAATATTTCCATAATTTCTGCCACTATATCAGCCATACTCTGTTTTATAGATTTTGCCTTTTTGTCAGCTGACACCCTCCTGCTCTCTCTTTCTGTCTCTCTCTCTTTCTCTCTCTCTCGCTCACTCCTAGTTTTACTTGTTACCCAGTGGTCTTTTAACTGTATTTTCATGAAAGTTGTTAAAAATTTGCTATAATTATTGCTATTCTTTCTTTTTCCTTATAAAGTTTTTTTTTTTTTGGTGGTAATAGGGTTTGAATTCAGCAGGTACTCTACCACTTGAGCCACACCACCATACCTCCAATCCTTTTTCTTGTTCTTTATGTAACTGGCATTTTATATTTTAAAAATTTCTTTATTTTTTAAATACAGGAAGGATATTAGTGCATGTGTTCATCTCAACTTTTTGAGTCTGAACTGTAGATGTTTTCAGTCAGATGCTCATGTATCTAGAATCGTACAATAAAACAGGATAAAGACTCACATTCAAGTATTTGGGAGGCGAGAAATTTAAGGTGTTTATAGATAAAGCTGCAAAAAGTAAAGATTAACCATATAGTTATTCTTATGTAAATGAATGTTTGTTCTAGAATAATTTTACCCTCACTTGTTTGATAAAGCTCTATACTTTTTGCTGTTATGATAAACCTTCCATCTGTTGATACCATTTTGTTTTACTTTCTATTCCATTATTGAACCTATGTGTCTTCTTGCGATTAGCATCTGTTTCTTCGTTACAGTGCCCCACAACTTCATTCCCTATGGTTTATTGAAATTGACCCATTTTACCGTTACACCCGTCTGTCTGTAACTAAGTGGCTTATAGGGATATTGAAAATGCTGCCTCTGTTGGGAGGCTAATGAGAGTTCCGAATGCTAATGGGTCTTGTCATTAGTCTTGGTGATAAGTTACACAATACTCTTGGACTAGTTTTTGTCTTTATAAGAGAATAGTATTGTAAAAATGTCAAAAAATATCCACATGCCCAGTTCACCAGTAAATATACTGTTAAATTTGAGCCATTTTGGCAGTAGCTTATGCTACTCAAGGGACCATATTTTTACAGAATGATATATTTTGAAGGATATTGGTTTTCATTGTAGAAAATTCATGCATTTAGAGCAACTTAAAGCCAAAACAATTGGGCTTGTGCTATATGTTTAAAATATTAGTCATCTTGAATACACGCCTAGGTTAAGTGTCAGAAGCTATATATCGTGCAAAAAGAAAATTTATTGTTAGGAGACCTGACTGTACCTGTGCTCTTAGCGTTTTCCTTAGAGGTTCAATTTGAGTATATGAGCTAATATCAGTGAGATTTTTGTACAGTAACATTATTGATAATAAAGGAAAGTTCATTGAGGAGAAAAACAAATAAAGGAAGCATAAAAGTCTCATACCGTGTGAAACTACAGAAATGGATCAAAGAGTTTGACAGGAAGTTTAATGTGTACATAAGTAGAGGCTGACAGAAACATGCTGTGTGTGCCAAAGGTTCCTGTGATGGAAAACCGAAACATAGTGCTCACTGACCACAGCATGAGCCTTGACACACATTGTAAATAATCCAGAGATCTATGACTGCATTAAGCACTAGGCTGGTGTATTAACAGCAGTAAATCTATAGCAACAGAAAGGGTCGGCATGCAGAAATTCCTCTGATTAATTTTTGTCGTGGTTTAATAGGAATATAGGAAATATTTTCATTTTAGATTATACAGTCCTCAATCCTTCCCACCATAGCCCACCCCATCATAATCATTTTTTTTACTCTCTTTGCTCACCAGACTTGTGTATGTGGATACTTGCTTCAGTACTATCCAGTTAAAAGCAGAAGATGCTTCTGGTAGAGAGCATCTAATGACTGTCAAGTTGAAGGAGAAGGTATGTGCCTTGCTAAAACTGTTGTAGTCAGGAAGTACTTTGACAAATGAACTCTGTGAATGTTTTCAGTATAAAGGAGTGTGAGTTATCTATAGATACATATATGATTGCCTTTAAAAATTGATTTTGGAAAGTCTCAGAGTTTATTCACCAGGTTTCTAAAAGCCTAGTTATAATCTTCTGTCATTATTTTAGCTTAAATTTGATCAAGATGGAGACTTACAGTAAATACTATAAATAACATTTAGTAGCCTCACAGTGCCATAAAAAAGTGTTATTTTTCTACCATCCTATATAGAAAAGAGTGGATGCCTTCACAGTCCCCAGTGAAGTCCTCCTGTAAATGTCTTTTGCCTTCACCTCTTGTGAGGATTTACTTTTGCAGTTCTTATCTTGGCTTCCATCATTTCACACACACACAACACAGACCCACGTACCCCCTCTCTTCCACACACAGAGACACACACACACACCTACATAGTGTTTGTTATTTATTTGTTTTGTTTGAAGTTTTTTGGTGTATGTTTTTTGAGATTTTTCAGTTACAGACTAGTGATCTTAATCATTCATGGATTTTATTGGCACAAAACATTTAATTTTATTTTTGTTTCATCTTTTTAGTTTTACATTGTGAATATTTAAGAAATGAGTAGAATAAGCAAGTTTAGCATATAAATCATTTACTTAGTAATCACTGGAAAAACATTAGAATTTGAAGGAAATCAGGACATCCAACTTTTTTATTATTCCTAGTGATCATCAATCAATTCTATTTCAGGGGGTTGTAGTGATGAAAAGATCAATTGTGTTTGTCCTTTTTAAAAATGTGTCTGGCATTTAAGCTTTTCACAAGTGAAAATTAATATATAAAGCTGTACTGGGTGACACAGAAAAGTTGATACCTTATAGTGGTCCTGTATCAGACAGGTTGAGAAATAACTCATTCTTTCTCATACACAGAACATTTAGGTATAATTTTAAGACCCATATACAACAAATGTTAAAAAAATTTAGTGGGATATGAATCTTATTTATAAAAGAAACAAGATGGTTATTTTCATTAAAATGTGATTTTTATTTTCCTTTTAAGTTTCTAAGCATGTGCTTTTTTTAAGATCTAGGAGAAATCTGCCCTTATCCTTCCAAAAGGTCACAAGTTGCCAGCGGCAAGGATTTTGTCATTTCCGTCAAATCACTATTTGTTTATATTTTGTACATTGATTAAAGTTGCTTTAGTGCTAAAAGACCAAAATGAAAGATTTAAAATATACTCTGTCCTCATTTTTATAAGCTCTGTACTTACCAAGGAGATAATGCTTTAAGTCCACACTACACTTAAAAGATTTTATTAATTTAGTTTTTACTGACTTGTGTTAACTGTACACATCAGTAGGGTTCAGTGAGATAAAAGATTCTGTTGCCACCCTAAGATGGTGACATTTGAGAACATGGATGTGGCTGTCCATACAGTCCACTCTCCCTGCTATTTTCTTATACCTTTCAAGGTAAATGAGATGGATCTTTTAATATTTCTCAAAAACTATTCTGTAGTTATGAAGTGCTGTGTTACAGTCATTTTGCCAAGACAGAAGAAAAAACTTTATTTGAGCTGGGAAAGGATTAGGAAAAAATGTTTATTAAAAATAAACAGAATGGAACTTAATCTTATGTTAGTATAATTTATTAGAATCTTTATTTGTCCTTTTAGTTTAGCATTATAGAGGCCAAAGTTGTCTTTGACACTTGGTAAGTTTTGGGTTTGTTTTTTGTTTTTGTTTAGGAATTTATGGGCCTGGGATAGTTAGTTAAAAAAACAAGAATAGCTGAAACTATTTGGTAAAAGTATATAATACAGAATCTTAATCCAAATTAAATTTTAGGGAGAAAGCTGAATTTTAACAAACCTTAAAGCAGGAAACAGGCTTATATTTATAAATATGTAAACCTTTGTTTTCTTGATTTGGTATATATTAAATAATAGGTTTTTTAAAATTTTTGTTATTATTTTTGGTGGTACTAAGGTTTGAACTCTGGGATTCCAGCTTGCTAGGCAGGTGCTCTGCCCCTTGAGCCTTGCTCACCTCAGTCCCTTTTTAGTTATTTTTCAGATAGATCTCATGTTTTTTCCAGGGCTGGCCTCAGACCACAATCCTCCCACCTATGCTTCCCAGTAGCTAGGACTACAGATATGCCCCACAATGCCTAACTTGTTGGTTAAGATGAGCTGTCCTTAATTATTTGAATTTGGACTGGCCTCAAACCATCTTCCTGATCTCTGCTTCCCAAGTAGCTGGGATTATAGATACCTGCTGACCTGCTTTTATTCTTGAGTGTACATTCTCCCAATTGCACTACTCCTCCTTACTATTTCTAAAAACCTACCAGAAGAACAATACCAATTTGTATTAGACAACCCCTATTAAAAATATGTCAATCAAAAAGAAACATTATACAGCAAAAAGTGGTTTTTATCAGAGCATTTGTGGCACTTACAGTGTATCCTGTATTAAGGAGTGAGGTTCCTTTCTATACGAAAGAAGTAGTTGAGAGCTTCCTCGGCTTTGACCAAGAGCAGAATACTTAAAAAACAAACCCCAGACGTGTAGCAGAGACTGGGCACTGTCACTGTTTGCACTGACAGTGGACCTGCCTGGGTATGTGGATCATACTGTATTTTACCTTGCTTTTTGTTTTTCTTTAACTATTTGTGGATCTGTTTATACTATTTATTATACTGAGTCCTACTTGAGTGTAGGACTTACTGACTCCCAAGGCCACAGATTCTTTACTTTGGTGTATCTACTCCAAATATAGCAAGCATTTCATTAACTTCTTACTGTATCTAGATTGATTAAGTTATAGTTGATAGTGCTTATTTTTATATCTTTAAGAGATAGATAGCAGCAACATAAAGTAATCTAAATTTACAGTTTTGACTCGAGGTTTCAATTGTGTATAATTATTTTTAAAGAATTCTGAGATTTTAAAGGGAAAAGATTTTGTAACACTTTCACTTGAGTTCTGTCATTTCAACATGCAAGACAACCACAGAAATTAAATGACTCATCCATTGTCACACTACTTAATTAACAAAGCTTGAGCCACAGACAGCTGAGGTATCTATCTATTTTGAGATAAAGACATGACTTTTTAACACGGTGTACAAATTGTTTTCCCAGTCATTACAGTTTTTAAACTCTGAAGAACATCCTGTGGTAGTTTTGGATTGTCTGAATGGGTTCCCTCATCTCAACCTGATATTTTTAATTTTTCCTTTTTCTTTTTTCAGAATTTAAGCATTGTAATATTTTGGAGTGGTTTTTCTATGTATTTGTCTTTTGTTATCAATTTTATATGGCCAGATAGCATGAGTCAGTATACAGTGATACTAAATTTCTTTTTAGCCAAATGATCATTATAGCGAAATGTTAATTCTTTTGAGGCATTGTTTCAAATGGATTGTTGTTTGTTGAATATTGCAGATTTTTAAATTTTTGTTTTGGCATTATTAGGGTTGGAACTCAGGACCTAGAGCTTACTAGGCTGGCACTCTTCCACTTGAGCCTTACCCCAGCCCCTTTTGCTTTAGTTATTTTTTCAGACAAGCTCTCCTGTTTTTGTCTGGAGCCAGTCTTGGAAAGTGATCTCCCTACTACTGCCTCCACATAGCTGGGATTAGGCATGGCCTTCCTTGTCCAGTCCTGCAGTTATGATTTGTAGTCCCTCTGGCTTAGACAGTGAGGTCTGAAAAACAATAAATTGAAAAAAGTAAAAGTCTGAAGCTAAATTGTTTGTCAAATGAAAATTATTCTGAAACTAATTTTTAAAGTAAATTTAGCGTTTCAGTGGAGGGAATTGACTATTTTTAATTATGTGTGATTTTGAAGATTCCAGAAGTGAATTTCAGTGTTATCATAATGAATAATTTGCTAATAAGAAAATTAATTTTAAGAAAAACTACCTTTTTTCTCATTAACTTAGAAACCTGATTTGTTCTCATGACTACCATTTTTTACATAACTAATTCAGTATTAATTTTCTAATTTTTTTTAGCTTAGAATTCTTATTTTCCTTGATCCGAAAACATGTTATCATTTTTTTTATTTTCTTTATAAAATTTGCTTTGATAGAGGACATCAGTTTTTAAACTGGTAGTTATATATAATCATTGGTGTTGCATTTCTTGATTCTTTTAATAGATACTGTCTATTTTAATGTTGACTCAGGCATTTGAGGTGAAATCTTAGACTGGAAGGAAGTAAATACCAGTTTGATCTCTTGTTTTAAAGATAAACTGAGATCCACTTTGGTCCACCCCTCACTTGTCATTGAACAGAACACAATTACTTTGGTGCCTCAAATCACCAAACTTTGTATCTCTTGAGCACCGGTTGACTGTTAATCAGCTCTCAAACATCACTATAATAGTAGAAACAGAAATTTGCATATATTTGTAGTTAAAATAATGCTTTTCCTAATTTACCCAGTTTTTATGATGTCCTGTGAAGTTGTCACAAAGCAGTGAAAATGACCTGATACTGTGCTTTTTCATAGTACCCTTCAGAATCACCAGATTGTTTTGTGGATTTTCCCATTGCATTTTGTGTTTCCTGGACACCACAGGTAACTGCTTAAATTTATTTTAAGTAATTAAAAAAATGTATACTTTTTGGCATACATATATTTGGTTTCCAGCTTAACACCAGCTCAGCACCTTATACTTATAGGTGTGGGATAAATACAGTATTACTCTAAACTCAGGATTTATATTTGAGGTTTCGCTTTTGTTTTGCCTCAAGAAAACATAGAATTAGTATGAGTATACTAATTTTTAAAATTGTACATTATACTGAAATTCTTAGCAAAGTACAAGTAAATTTAAGACCTTTTTATCCACAACTCAAATTGGACGGATGTTAATGTTTTGCCTCAGCTATCTCTTGCTCTTTGTCTTCTTTTAGAAATTAGATGTTCTGGGAATAGTACAATACCCACTCCCTTTTTGTCACTTGTTTCTCTTCCTTTCTAAAAAGGTTATCTTTCCCTGAAATTGATATGTATGTTCTCCATGCATATTTTTGCTATGTTTTTATGCTATATTTACAGAATATTATTTTTGCACAATGCTATTTCAATGATTGTTACATGATAGTACTTCAGTGGTTTTCCATGATCATCTCTGTATCTAATACATTTATTTAAAATGCTGTCTTTTATTCCATTATGTCCACTGACCAGGCAGTTTATCCATTGCCCTACGTTAAGGGTATTCATAATTTTTTACTAATTGCCTGAAATGAACATCTGTATGTGTTTCCTGGCACATATATCTGAGAATTTCAGCATGGATTATTCCTAGATATGAAAATACTGAATTGTAGGGAATGTGCCCCTTTGAGATTACTAAATATTGCCAAATTGACTTCCCAAATTGGTTGTATAAGTTTATGTTCTCAGTTAGCAATAAATAGTGATGCTTACATTTCCATATTTCTTGTAAGTTTTTTTCTGATCTTAGACTGACCTTAATTCTTATTAACAGTTGATCATAGTGATTGTGTTCAAAGTCTTTGCCTATTTGAAATTTTTTTTTAACTAAACATTCCTTATATATTTTGGACACTAATTCTTTGTTGGCTATATGAGATGTAAGTATCTTCTTCCTGTGGCATATATTTTAACCTTGCACATTATATATTTTTGAAGTTTAATTTTCAGTGTGGTTGCATTTGTCAGTTTCTTCCTTGTTTTTGCTTTTCATGTCTCAAATAAAATCTTCCATATTCTTTTCTGAAAAGATGTTCCTGTAGTTTGTTCTATAAGTTATAATTTTTCACATTTATGTAAGTATGATATGGTAATCCAAATTTGTTCTTATCATTATTATATATGCTTATATAATTTGGAGATATCTTGATTTGTAGGAGTCTGTGGATAGTTTCCCCAGTTTTTCTTTACACATACTATTAAGATTTCAAACGGTAATATTCTTGGAAAGTTTCAAAGTCTACTCATACAGCTTAAGAATTTTGATGGTGTACCAGAAGTAGGAGCTCTTTGAGACTTCTAGACTGTGTGCTGGCCTTAATAGCCTGTATTTTGAAAGTAAGGCAGTCAGACAACTTTGGTATATGTGATACTTTATTGACTAACTACAGGCAGTTCTTTTGGGAGTTTATTTTTGGTTTTAACAGTTTTTAAACAGTTGTGGTTCTTAACATTAATGTTACTGTTGTAGTTTATTTGAGTTATATTTAAGAGACTGCAAATAGGTTTCAGATAATTGATTAAAAAATCATTGCTTTTGTGCATTTCCTCTATGGTGATTTTGGACTTTAAACCTGGAAGATCTTTATTTTCCTTTCTTTTTGTAATATAATAGACATGGCTTTGTGGCATCCATATTAAAAATGGGTAATTTTCCTTATGGTCCCTGTCTTCCCACTGAGTTGATAATGTTTTGATGTATTTTTCTTTTGCTCTGATGAGAGGTCTGCTGCTGCTGCTCTGACATATTCATTTGGATGAATAATTATAACTTGCACAATGTCAAGCTGAAGATGGTAGGGTTTTGTGCGTCATGACAAGCCTAGTAGCCAGTGCAGGTGTCTCACAGCATGATCAGCAACAGCCAGTGTATTCTGGCTCAGAGGAGACATTTAGAGTCGTAAGAAATCAGCACCAAGGGCAAGGCTGCTGCTACTATTGCTTCCATGACGTGTGCCAAAGAAACACAAAGTGCTTTTCAAAGACAAGGGTCTAAATGTCTCTTTTTTGATATTCACTTTGTTTACCCAGTAAATCTCTTTTAGAGATTTTAGCATAGAATGTAAGAACATCTCAAGATTTTTTTCTTAATTCTACTTTCTAACGTCACATATGATCTAAAATACTTCTCTAGCTATCTGCTACCTTTCAGAGTTGTACATATATGTCAATATTATTGACTAATGAGGCTGTATAGTGTGTTAATGTAACATTTTGAGTGCACTGATATTATGATTATATAAAAGTGGAAATCATTTTGTCCAGGTCACTGACTAAGCAAAACTGGCTGTTACAACTGCAATTCTACCTGAAAATGTGCCATAAGTGCAAATTTGGTGAAGTATCCTTGCCACAGGCATTTGAAATATTTGGATTTGATATGATGCAATAAACAGTGATCTTATATTTTTTTAATCATGGAAATCTGATATTCTTGGAAAAATGCCATGAAGGAAGAAGAGCAAAGCTAATGATAAAGCCTCTGGCTGATAATCGATAATCTGGTGGTGAATGAAGAATTTGTAATTAAAGGAAACAGTCCTATTACATAGCAAGGAGCGTGATCCATTAGTTAGAGCAGCAGACTAGCGGTCGGTATCTAGGTTGTGTTTATAGTTCAGCCATTGACTTAATTGTGCAATTTCAAACAAGTCACATGACTGGCCTTAGCCTCAGTTCATATATATAGGAAATTTTTTTCTTCACAAATAAGTTGAGAAAAATAAGTTTAGTTTAAAGCAAATACAATGTCAGGGACAAAAGGTCTCAATTATCCATTATAAGCATCCTGTGTAAGTTCTTTTGACCAAGATTTTCATTTTTCCCATTTCTCTCTGCTGTGTCAGATAACTCATAGTACTGGGTTTTTGTTTGCTCCTAAATTGCTTAATTATATATGCTTTTGCTTTCTTGATCTTATTGTACCCACAGTAGTTTGGATAAAACGATCTAAACAAAGAAAAAAAATTCCTTGTTTCTATGTGATATGAAAGGTGAAAGTAGGAGTGAGGAAATCATGGAACCAGACTACTAAAGGCCTTGGATTTCTTTTTTTTTCTGGTGCAAATATTGGGATATGAACTCAGGCCCTCATGCTTGCTTGATAGGCAAGATGGGGTCTTGCTAACTTTTTGCCTAGGCTAACCTTGAACCAGGATTTGCCTCCCAAGTAGTTGGGAATTTCTGGCATGAGTCACCATGCCTGACCCTTTTCTAATTTTTAAAAACGTATATATTTTTAAAGTACCCTGCATTAATTCTAAAAAAGAAAAGAGGATAAATATAAGCAAACAAAATTAAGAAAACATACAATATGCCTTTATCTGAATTAAAATTTCAGTGGATACTAATTTCAAATTACAGGAGTGGTGGTGCGCCTTGTAATCCCACCGACTTCAGAGGTGGGGCAGGAAAATCAATTAGGAGTTCAAGGTCAGCCTGGGCAACAAGGTAATTAAACCCTGTCTCAAAAATGAAAACCTGAAAAAAGCAAGAGGACTTGGGGTATAGTTCAGGTGATAGAGAGTGCTTGTCTCACATGTGCAAAGCCCTGGGTTCAATTCCTAGTACCAAGAGGAAAAAAACCCCAAACCTCATCATTGATAGCTTTATTCATTTATTATTTGAGACAATCTTCAGAATCACTTGGGTTTTTGTGATAATTGGGTTTACATTTATCCATGAAATTAAACATAGAAAATTGTTCTCCATTAACAATTAGGTCCTTCAGTAATAGCGCTGGTTTCTTAACCCACATGTTGCATAATTTTGTTGAATTTATTCTTTTAAGTATTTTAATATTTGCCTGTATGCAGTCTTTTTCTTTGTGTTTTCTAATTTATCATCACAGTATGGGCAAATCTATTATTATCTTAAATTTACGTTTATCGAAGTTATACACAAATCTAAAAGAGTTAGGCTTCAAGATTTCTTTTCCCTCACTCCTCCCCCTCCTTTCCTCTCCCGCTTTCTTTTCTTGTTTTGGGGGGGCATTTTCTAGCCTTTTTCTCACTTATTTGTCTTTTCCAAGGTAACTGCTTTTAACAGTTCTCCATTCCTTTTAGTATTTGTGTTATTCAGTTTTCTATCATTATAACACATAACTGAGGTAATTCATATATAAAGAGAGAAGGTTTATTTTGACTTGCAGTTTGGGAGGTATCAGTCATGATCAGTAGGACCCATTACTTTTAGGACCCTGGGGAGTGAAGGGTTGCACATTGTGGTGGGAATGTGTGGTTTAATAAAATTATTTGCCTCATGACTTGTATGTAAGAAAGAGAAAGGGGTTTGGGTCCCACTGTCCCCTTTGCTGGAGCACACCTCAGTGACTTAAGACCTTCCCATTAGGCCCCACCTCTTAAGGGTTTCCACTACCTCCCGTACCACTACTATGGAGATAGAGTCTTTAACACCTGTCCTTTGGAGGACATTTGAAATTCAACCTGTAGCAGTATTATAATTTATGTTATTGTTCTTGTATTATACTGCATTTTGTTTGTTTTAGGCATTATCCATAATTTTCTACTGTGAATAACAATTTTCTGTTTTTTCTACTTGTCTTCATTCCACTTGCATATATCCTAACTTCTTGTTCTCTACAATAATTATAATCTTGATGTAAATATTCATATTATTATGAATATGTATACTTTGTAGAGATAAGCAATGTGTAGTTAGGTCTAACTATTTAGCCTCTGTCATCCTGGGTTTGTTATTCCTAGAATTAATATTTATCTTACTTTCTCAGTTTCTTTGTTTCTAAGTTATATGACCTTACTCAATCTCCATATACCTGAGATATATCTGAATAAATTTCTTTAGTGGGCAGATGGATGGATGACTTTAATCTCAAA